ATGAGATTGACGTGTGGGTCGTCCGTAACTGGATTTCTGCTTAATGCATCGGCATTTGTATTGCATTTGCCCTTTTTGAGTACGGTTTTATAATCGTACTCCGCTAATTTTAGTCGCCATCTAATTAATCTAGAACCGGATCCGTGACATTGAATAGCCAGATTAAAGGTCTGTGGTCTGTCACAATGGTAAACGTTGTACCATATAAATATGGTCGAAAATGTTTCACGGCCCATACTATAGCTAATAGTTCCTTTTCCGTTATGCTATAGTTTTGTTCGGCTTTATTCAAAATTCTACTAGCATAAGCAATCGGTCGGTCTCTGCCTACGGGACCTTGTGACAATACGGCTCCGATTGCATGATCTGATGCGTCGGTCGTTACTAAGAATTCACGAGTGAAATCCGGGTAACTTAGTACGGGTGCCGACGTGAGTTTTGCCTTTAATAATTCGAACGCGTTTTGCTGTTCCATACCCCATTCAAATTTTACTCCCTTTTTGGTTAAACCCGTAAGAGGTTTTGCAATTTTAGAAAATTCTTCAATGAATTTCCGGTAATATCCGGCCAATCCGATAAATGATTGCACATCCTTGATTTTTCTTGGTATAGGAAAATTGTTTACAGCACTTAATTTGCTTGGATCTGGTCGTATTCCATTTTCAGTAATTATATGACCTAGATAAATTACTTCCTTTCTAAGGAAATTGCACTTGTCGGGCTGTAATTTTAGATTATGTTTTCGTAAACGCTGCATTACTTCAATCAGGCGTTTGTTATGTTCTTCCAAATTTGATCCGTAGACGACGATGTCGTCCAAATATACGAGGCATCTTAAGCCTTGGATTCCGGCTAATATCGCGTTCATTAATCTTTGAAAAGTTGCGGGTGCATTCCTTAACCCGAAGGGCATTCTATTAAACTCGTAGTGCCCATGCGAAGTGGAAAACGCTGTTTTATTTTTGTGTTCTTCGCTCATGGGAAGTTGATGATATCCCGAGGCAAGATCTAATGTAGAAAAATATTTTGCATTTCCTAATTGATCTAAAATATCATTTATATTCGGCAGAGGGAAAGAATCGCCTATTGTTAGCTCATTAAGTTTTCGAAAATCTATCACAATTCTCAATTTCGGCTTCTCTGTCGTGTCGCCTTTCTTTGGAACGACCAGTAGTGGCGCGTTCCACTGACTCGCGCTAGGTCGGATAATATCTTCTTTTAGCATTTTTCCTATTTGTCGATTTACCTCTCCCTTATGTTTTTCTGGTAATCTATAAGGTCGCACATTTACAGGTGCGCTATTTGTGCGGATATTTATTTCATGCTCCACAGTGGACGTGTGCGTCAGCATATCTCCATCTAAATGAAAGATATCGCAGAAGTCTTCGCATAATCGCTCAATGGTCTTCTTTTCCTCGTGATTTAAATGCTCGGTTCCTATCTGCGCTCGTATACGCTCGCGGCGCGTTAGTATTGGTGAGTCGCTCTTGTTACATGCCGTACGTAGTGTGAGTATGTTCTCGCGGTCATTTGCCCGCAATTCATCTATTGTCACGAGGTGTTATTATTTCTACTGTCTCTCCCGTTGTATTTAGCATACTTATTGGGCAAGCATATTCTTCAGGTGCTACCAGGCAGTTGCCAATAAATACTCCTGGTCGCATTTCCTCTGATTTTACTATTCCAATGCGATTTTTATCTGTTACAGCTTGGATTATGGTCTCGCTACGAGGAGTTAGCGTTTATCTGATACGATGAAGAGACTAATACTTATAATTCAATGAGCCAGAAGCATGCATGGTGATTTCACTACTATGTCAACAATCACGTCAGATAGTTGCGTTAAATCGAGAAAATCCTGCGTACGAAAGGACAAAAA